CTAAGCGGGTTGTTCTTCTTATATCTCGCAGCTCTTTTGAACTTCTCCTTCGTGACCGACACATAATCTTGCGTCTTCTCCACATTGGCTTGTATGTTCTGAATCTGGTGACCTTGCTCTTCCACCAGCATGAACACATCTAGAAAGAGATCTCTCAGGTCCTTCATGTTGCTTTCCAGATTTAGAAGCTCTTTATGGCGTTGCTCGATCTCCGAGAGCTGGGTTCGAGTGATCTTAGCATCTACTATGATGTTCTCGTTGAAGATCTCCCACTTTCCTTGCTCTATCATGTTGTCCACCTCCTCTTCAGACACTTCGCGTCCTGATACCTCAAGCTGTCGGATGATAAACTGCTTGCATTTTTCCTGCTTGCTTAAGATTGCGTCATTGTGTTGACGCATTACTTGATGGAATTGGAGGAAGAGAGCTGCGTGCTGGATCTTCTGGATACGGGATGTGGTGGCGTTTGGGCCCAGCTCGGCCTCGGTTTGCTTAGCCTGCTTGGAAAGAGCATCTAACCTTTTATGCAGACTCTCAGCCAAAAGCTTGATGTCTCGAGTCATGTTACTTTCCTTTTTCATGATGCTGAGGCGCCTCATGGTGGCCACGAAGTTCTTCTGCTGCTCGTTAAACTTACTGACTTCAGAGTTCAGCTCCTCGATGCTGTCACGAATGCCCTGAGCGTCCTTTAGAAAGATTTCCAGGACAGGCTCTGCCTCGAAGATCACAGCCTGCAGGCCTATCAGTGAGGACGGGTCCATGTCCTCGTCTTCTTCCTTATTGAAGGGTTTGCTGTCCACTAGCTTCTCGCTAGCCTTCATCTGCTGACGCAGCTCCTCCATGCGGTCCTTCATGACTGCACAATATGATGTACACCTGATGTGGATCAGGTGAAAACTTGATTTTAGATTTGAGTGTTGTCTGTGAGTAAAATGCTCCTTTCCTTTTCATAACCTGTAAATAGAAAACATAGAATTTAGATAATTGTCACATAAACATCATACTTCATTGAACAACTACACATAGATACCATTTATGTACTATATAACTGCAGGTTAACTATGTTTATATATAATAACTTTAACTAATGATGTAATTAATAATTAGTTAATTAGTTATTATGTTATTGGTAACTAATAATGTTATAGTAACTAATAACCTTCTCTTTTCTGATTTTGATTGTAATGTAATAATGGGCACCTTTTGTGAAGCTACTTTGAAACATTAGTTTTTGTGAAAAGCGCTATACTTATAAACTTGAATTTAATTGAAAATATTCATTGACTTGAGGTACTACAAGGTTGCTTAATGCTTCATACAAGGTGTACAATTATTTGTTAAGGTAAAGTAATTCCAGGCAATTCCTGATCTCACTACACACTAAAAATGCAGGGTTCCACACAATTCATTTATGTTGTCTCAACACAAATTAAGTTAACTTAACACATTCATGTGGATTAAACATAAAAATTAAGTTGTCCCAATGAAATCTCAAGAATTGTGTTGTTTCAGCTTTTTTTAAATAAGTAGTTTGGACAAGCGAAAAAAGCTCGATATTACTAGGCTGAACTATTACAGGCAATTCGCAGTCTATGACTGTCATATCAAATCACATCTAAAAAAAGACACAAAATTATCTACACCAGGGGTTTTCAAGCTTTTTCAGCTGAGGGCCCCTTTGTGTAGGGCGAATTCTTTTGGGGACCCCCAAAAAATAAAAATGACGCCACCCCCTCAAATTAACAACTGTACTTAATTTTCTTTTAATTGTATTATTCAATAAATTTATATTATTATATATTATTCAATAAATTTATATTATTCATTATCTGGACTAATTTTTGTAAGATGTTAGTTGAGTTGACATGGTTTCAGTGCTTCAATCTATTGATCAAATCTTCATGCGCAGTGTTCATTGTGGTCTGCTCTCGCTGGATTCCATCAAGACATATTTTGTGAACGAGACGTCACTTTAAACAGTTTTTTATGCCATTTTTATGTTTTTTTTTGCCTATGCACAGCTAGACGTTTCTGTATTTACCCTTACAGCTGAGAGTCTAAATGTAACTAAAGATTTAAAGCTTTAAAGTTTTAAAGAGTTTTGTCATTCATCAGCCTGTTAACAGTTAACTGTACTGTTGAAACTAGCAATACTACAATGGAGGCTGTAGTGGTTCAGTGTGTTTTGTTTATTTTTATTCCTTTTTTTTTGTGCACATCATAATTTACTCAGGTCGACAATCCTGACTTACACTGATAAAAAATAATTTCCTAAATGCAATCTAGAATTGGGGATTCAAGTTCTTTTAATATAAAGAGGGTATTCAAATTACATTTAAATTAGTTACACAAATAAATATGGGAAAAAGTGGAACATCTTAAAAAAAGGCATTTATATTGAGAGTATTAAAATTTGATCAGATATGTTGAGCTCCATTAAATACAAAGCACTAATACATTTTAATATTTAATAATGAATTAGCCCTATAACATAACAAAAACAGATACATTATAATTTTTATAGGCTATAGTGGTTTTACTCAGGGTGTATACAATTTAGTTTTTTTTAAATCATCCAGTTATGAACCAATGTGAGTAAGAGGTCCACTGCAGAGCTCATCCAGCTGTCATTAGTGTAACAGGAGTGAAACTCTGAGAACTTGCTGATGTGATGACAGCTCCACTCATTGTACTGCAGCACTTTTTGCTTTACAATTTTAATATGATTGTTTGCCATGCTGCAAAGAGGACCGTCTGATATTTGTACAATGCAAAGTGTAAAGCCTGTCGCACTGTGGACGAGGTGCAATGTTGTGCCGTGTCTTTAAAATGCTATTTGTTCTCTCCGCAGCACCCAGCTGATCGGTTACTTAGGAACGGCAGCCATAAACAGGGAAGTGCTTTCAGCCACCGAAAATGTTCTTATTGATCATGTATTTTAACTGAAATATAGTCAGTTAAATAGACCTGAACATTCATTTAGTTGTTTAGCGTAAAAGAGGTAAGCGTAAGTGAAAGGTAAACACCGTCAGGTGCAGCAGACAAGCGCCAAAAATCACAGGAAGCACCCGACCAGAAGCGCTTATTCAATAAAAGTCCCCGTGCACAGAGGCAGGCGCTGCGCTTCTTTTTCTGTGTCACGAAAGTGTCAACTGCATTTAAATGACATAAGCATAAAGCTTAATTTTTGCAGTACTTTTGAGCTCAAATTATAAAAAAAAATATATATTAACCTTCAGAATGATGCGGGACACAAAATTCATCCGTGTGGGCCCATTGATTACCCCTCATCTAAAATTTTTTTGCGGCCCCCCTAGCGCCATCTGGCGGCCCCCCAGGGGGGCCGCGGCCCCCAGTTTGAAAACCCCTGATCTACACATGAGCTGTTTAGAGACACACAGTAAACCAGAAAAATGTCTTGAAATATGCTGCTACATCTGAACAGTGTAGTAAAATAATAGGAATATTGACTATGAGTTGAATTAAAATTTATTTAATAAAATTTAAACAATAGTAAATATTTTTCTAAAAAATTCAGTGGCCTGTCATCAATTTTTCTTTTTGTAATTATGGTAAAATCTCTACTGTTTTACTGCTTTGTTAGCTATAGCTTACCCAACAATGAACATTTCCTCACCATTTACTTTAAATAGAAGTCAAGGGTTTTATTTTTTTATTTTATTATGCATAACTTAAATTTTTAACTATTTATAATTAATCTTTGCATATATGGTTTTCTTCGGTTTTTACCAACATCTAGAAAAATTTCAAGTCAACAGCACTTTTAGAAATATGTTTTTGAGAAAAATGGTTACGTGTTGAATACATATTTCCCCTACTGTATATGTATATCAGAGAACCTATACAAAAATTAAGCAGATTAGATGCATAAAAATAAAGATTTTATATTTTTAATCAATTGTAGTTAATAACACCAACACTTAGGTCTTTTCCAGCAAAATCATAGACATCCTTGGAAATAAGTTATAGAAAACAGACTCTATTTGCTGTAAGTAAAAGGTCACATTTTTGTCAGATGCTTTTCCACACATTCTGCCTTCAGCGCCAGGAAGGATTAAAGGAAGGCCTCCGCTCAAAACCTGTGCACTTTTCCCACTCCACATATCACCGCTGCACATTCATCATGATCACAGTCATTTATAAAGTCTGTTCTGACACTCTACAGAACATGATACAGTACAATTCCCTTTTTGAAACAGCTCGGCGACCCGCTTCCTTGTGTGAAAAGTAAGATGCAGGGCTGCTGCTGTTTCCTCGAGCTGCCCGGACTGTGGTTTTGGAAAGTGAGCACAATGCCAATGAACTTTGTCTGAGGTGAGTACAAGTAAAGTAAAATAGAGCTCCCAAATCACTGGCTCTCCAGTTACTGAAGGGATTTTCGAACAGGAAGGACTGCTGTTGCATGCGTGTGTGAGAACAGCCCACCCAAGCTCCTTAGGGAGAAGCTTATGAATATAAGAGTGGCCTTTGTTTTCTGAAGGACATTCGAGGAAGTCACACTCCTTTTCTACTGTTCACAACCTATAAATACATTGCACAACATTCTCTAATTCCAGCCCTCAGTACTGTATTTTTTCATTACATTAGGTTTCATCTATTCCTTATTCACTCTGATTTGATCAGTTTAAAGAAGTTCTGTTATTTAAGTTATATATATATATATGTGTGTGTGTGTGTGTGTGTGTGTGTGTGTGTGTGTGTGTGTAACAGATCAAAAATCTCACGGTTCAGATCACACTACGGTTTTTAACTCATTAAAAAATAATTTTTCGGACCGGCAAAAAAGGAAGAAAAAATGTCTATTGCTTTCCATTTAAACAAAAATATTACTGCAAAAACATTGGTTTTAACAAACATAACTTGGAACCTGTCATTTTTTTTAATAAAATAAAAAAATCAAGAAAGAACCAACTAAAAAAATGAAAATATTCATTATGAAAAATGATCTTCGTTCTGTTGTTGATCATTCTAAATATAGATATTTAGAACATCTTGTACCACATGTCATATTTATTTTCAATTAATGATTCAACAATTCACACATAAAACTTCATGCTTAATTATAGATGGATCATTTTTGAAAACTTATTCAGTGACATAATTTTCATGGTTGTTTGTCACCACCCATTGACTACGCAATGTAATTGCTACAACATTCACCAGCATCAAGTTCCATTAAACGGTGATTTTAATCTTTACCACAAACATCAGTGTTTATATCTGAACTATAAACTTATCCCAGCACTTCTGTGTTATTTAATTGTTTGTAACTAACTAAAAAAAGTGTAAAAACTGACGCAGATTTGAAGGATTAATAAACATATGCAAATCATCATCATTTATCACTCATAATGTGCAGGTTTGAATCAGGATATTTTAACGTTTAATTGTGTAGCTTTACGCTGAATGCATTAATGCAGGCTAAACAAACAGTGACAGAAAACATCTTTAATTAATAACCTAAGAAACATTTAGGTCCCACACCAGCTTTTTCCATTATCATTATGTTTTTTAGGACAGCCAAAATACTTTCATACACGTGATTAGAATGACTCTCTGGATTTGTTATAAATGTTGTATAAAATAACAAGTTTAAAAAAGTTAATAATCCTCAGGTCACGTGCGTTCCTAACTTTGTATATATACTATACAAACAATATTGACCATTATAATAAATACTGCGAATGTAAACAATTAAAGACTACTAAGTAAGGGTACACTGAGCAAACTTCTTAAAAATCATATTTAATGTTTTAATTGTAAAATTCAAAGTGTATTTTGTATCCACTTGTTAAGTGGTGACGTGTTTGTGACGTATGTATACTGTTTCTGGGTCCAAGCCGCCATTCATTTGAGTGGAGAAATCATTTGTTTATGATCACGTTTTATTCCTATCACACATTAAAGTTAATTTCATATAAAATCATAGTGTACACAACAATCTCTGAGCTTGCTGCATAACAAATACCAAAAATTTAGCAATTTATAAAAAATGAATCACTTTCTGGGCATCGGATATTAGGCATGGACATATATATTGTAATTGTGATTTTCGAAAGCATTAAATCGATTTGTTAACGTTTATTATTACCATTTCATGAGTCTCCTCATTCAGTTGAATAGAGCGCTTGGACCCGGAAGCCACTTCGCGTGACATCACACTTAACAAGCGTATTGTTTCTTTTTGATGTATAAAGCTGTTGTAATTATTATTATGTAATATCTTGTTTATTGTATTGATCTTGCCATGAAATAGCCATAAACTGCTAATGCAGCAATTAACAAACAAACAAAAAATTAAAACTAGCTGCATTTATTCACTTTCCTTCAGCTTAGTGTCTATTTCAGAGGTCCCCACAGCAGAATGAACTACCAACTATTCCAGCATATGTTTTGCACAGTGGATGCCCTCCTATCCGCAACCCAGTACTGGAAAACACCAATACACTCTGGATTTACACACACACACTATTTATTAAATTCCACTACAGCGCATGTGTTTGGTTTATGGGGAAACTGGAGAACCCAGAGGAAACCAAGTGGAGAACATGCTAACTCCACACAGAAACGCCAACTGGCCCAGCCAGGACTCAAACCACCAAACTTTTTGCCGTGAGGCTAGAGTACTTGCCACTAAGCCACCGTGCCACCTCTACCTTAATTCAGTATATAGTTTTATAAAATTTTGCAGGCAAGTTTATAGTTGTACATTAAAGTCTCGAAGCTATTAACCATTTTTACAGTTATCTCCCGATAAAAGACAAGTATTAAAAGTAAACACATATACTGTAGGTCCTGAGACATGGTTTAAATAAAAATACATTTAAATAAATGGCATGTGAGTTATAATACAAATAAAGCCACACTGTGAAAAAATGCAAGGTTCCACACAATTTATTCATGTTGTCCCACACAAATCAATTAAGTTAACCTAATATTTTTATGTTTATGCCACATAAACTTATTAAAAGTTGTCCCAATGAAATCTCAAGAATTGTGTTCTTTTTCAGCTCTTTTTAAATAAGTAGTTTGAACAAGCAAAAATATATATATATTTGTGTGTACAGCCTATTTGCACTTTAACCAAAAATTATTTCAAACATAACAGTAGTAATTATGAAATTACATATAAAGATGCAATTATGTCCTACTTGAATAATAATAAAATGTATTGGTAAACCATTTGTACTTTGCAATTTACATTTAAGCAAATGTTATTTCTATAGTACAATTTTAAAATATTGTTTACAATTTACAATTTTATTATACAGTGTTTTTATGTTATTCGTGTCTGCTGTTTTTATTTTGTTATAATGTATGTACATTATAATATATATGAAGAGTTCAGATGCAAGTGCCATCTTGAAGTTTCATCAACAATGAGCATTTCTCAGCCTCTTATGTTTATGTTCAGTTATTTCATGTTAAAAGTGATGAAAATAACCTATTATTTGCCATAAAAGTGAAACTTGCAAATCAAGACATATGAGCCTGAAAAAAACTCTAATATTAAAAGAAAATTTTAGATGCCACTTAGAGTTTTTTTGAATCTGAACTCTTCATACATAAGAAAAATGATTCAAAGATGATTCCTTGGATTTACTAAATTTTTTTATTATTAAATTTGCAATTATTGGGGCTGAATTTAAACAAACAAATTAAGTGAAACATTATTACATTAAATATGTTTGTTTAAATGGTTTGAAACAACTTTGCAGACATCAATTTTAAAAATAATGGAATTGTAATTCAAAGTATTTATAAAAACACTATTTCAGATTCAGATACCTCTTCTTCTAAACCGCTTAAAGACTTTTCCTGCTTGTTCAAACACAATTCTAAAGTTTTTTGAGGGAACAACTTAGTTGTTAATCATTTGTTAAAATGATTAAGTCAACTTAATTTATTTGTGTTGAAATAACATGAAGGTATTGTGATGTAACTCAGCATTCTTTACAGTATATATACAGTTAAAGACACAATTATTAGCCTCCTTTGAATTTATTTTATTTTTTTTCAGAATAAACCATTGTTATACAACAACTTGCCTAATTACCCTAACCTGCCTAGTTAACCTAATTAGTTAAGCTTTTAAATGTCACTTTAAACTGTATAGAAGTATCTTAAAAAATATTTAGTAAAATATTATTTACAATTTTCAATAGTCTACAGAACAAACCATTGTTATACAATAACTTGCCTGATTACCCTAACCTGCCCAGTTAACCCAATTAACCTGGTCATAACCTAGGCTAATAGTTAACCTAATTAACCTAGTTAAGCTTTTAAATGTCACTTTAAACTGTGTATTATGTATAACTGTATAATATTAAGTAAAATATTATTTACTGTCATTATGGCAAAGATAATATAAATCAGTTATTAGAAATGAGTAATTAATAGCGCTATTAATAGGGAAATATATGTGTCCTAATAGTATTTTTAGCAGTGTGGGACACATATACGACTGTCAACAGCTCAAAAAAATGTGTTTTGGTGTTTCGTGACCCCTTAAAACTTAAAGAAATGTGTTAAAATGTGTCTTCTATCTGTTAAACAGAAATTGTGAAAAAAAATAATTCAGGGGCTAATAATTCTGACTTCAACTATATATATAAAATATAATTAGATATAATGCTGAATTCCCTATTCCATAGCAGCTTCTTGAAAATCTAGATCATGTGTATACATTACGTTTTTTTAGAAGCTGATAAACTAACAAGAAACATAAAAATGTACAAAATTACCTCTTATTGCCTTTAATCCATTGAGTGCTGAATGTGGCTTCATTATATTGCCAGGAATTTTACTCAAGCCTTTCCTCTGCCATGGATTAGTAAGATCTAAGCTGGACCTGATAATTCAGTAAGTCCTTGGATTTCATCGTTTTCGGCTCTCAGAGACACAAGTATGTCCTAGTGCGAGTGTTCCCTCTGCTCCAATGGTGTCAGTTATGCCTATGAAAAAACAAAACAAAACACACGGACACACACAGAGAGACTCCAGGGAAATCTGGTCAAGCCAGTTGAAACCACACCTCCCCAGTCACAGTTAGAAGTCTTGTTTGACCAATGGAGGGCGAAGTTTGGTAGGCAGAAGTGATGCGGTTTCATTATTTAGAAAGGAATTGAAAGAACACATGCAGTGCAGCAAACATTGCCTCTCAGCATCCTCTATTGTATATCAGACAACAATGGGGACCAGGAAGCATCTTAAAAAGACTGTTGACAAAGCTTTGAAGTGTGCCTGTTCTCAATCTCTTATTTTGTATTTCCTTAACCTAGTTTTAAAGTGTTGCATGATAGCAAAAACAGTCATACAAAATGTAAATGTGTAAAAGGATGTTTTAAAACATAAAAACACTATAGTTACGAATACATATAGGTTAAGCTGTTTTTCCAAATGGGCGGTGAATGGGTCAACAGAATGACTCATATTAAGCTTTACTGTTTTGGGTTCAGACTTAAATGGAGCAAAGAGCAGTGTGTGGATTACATACAGTAAATAAGCCTCTGTCTTTACTAAAGATTGTGACTGCAGATAAGGGTAATTATTTTTATTTATGTTTTTTTTTTAATCATTAAAACCAAATTGTATTATTAGAATGTAACAAGAATCACCACTAAAATAATAAAAAATTATAAAATCTAAAAACTAAAAATGTAAAACTATCAAACTAATTTTAAAATACATTATGCACAATTAAAAGGGCACCTATTTTACCCCTCAAAATACCAATCAGATTATTTATTACAGCCTCCCGAATTTGCCCATTTTGGTGTCTGAGTATACTGTAGCTGTTTTTGTAGCCTGTGGCCTTCAATCAAAACAAGCTTCTTCTCCCTGCCCACTATTTCCACGACTCCAATGAGACTAAAATGGATATAAAGTCGAAGTCAGAATTATTGATGTTTAATGATTTATGAATTAATGATGTTTAACAGAAATTATATATATATATATATATATATATATATATATATATATATATATATATATATATATATATATATATATATATATATATATATATTTATTTATTTATTTTTTTTTTTTTTTTTTTTTGAGATTGTTTTATTTCACCTTTAAGGTCAAAATTATTAGCCCCTTTGAGCTATTATTTTTTTCAATAGTCCACAGAACCATCGTTATACAATAACTTGCCTAATTACCCTAACCTGCCCAGTTAACCTAATTAACCTAGTCAAGCCTTTAAATGTCACTTTAAGCTGTATAGAAGTGTCTTGAAAAATATCTAGTCAAATACTCTGTGCTGTCATCATGGCAAAGATAAAATAAATCAGTTATTAGAAAAGAGCTATTAAAACTATTATTTTTAGAAATGTGTTGAAAAACTTCTCTCTTCATTAAAAAGAACTTACGGAAAAAAATAAACAGGGGGGCTAATAATTTTGACTTTAACTGTATATGCGTGTTTACTGACACCATGTGGCTGTAGTGATTATTGCGATTAAGAATAGCATTTTTTTTCTGTCTTTATTACTAACATGCTAATTTAAAACGTTTTAAATTTATAAAAATCACAGAGAGTTGTAACAAACATTTTAATCTCAGTTTATTTGCAAAAAAAAAAATGTTCTGTGGACATGTGTATACTTGTAATTTTGGAGACATGACTCCTGACAAGCAATTCGATAGGCCGGAAAAACCACACTCCTACGTCACAGTGCAGTGGGCCTCAAAAATTACTGAGATTTGGGTCCTATTTTAACGTCAGTCAAAAAAAAAAAAAAAAAAAAAAAGTATTAATTATTTCATTATTTTATTTAATTATTTATTTTTGTCTTGAATTACATGGCAACTACTCAAAAAATTATTCTTATTCTTATTATTTATAGTAGTGGTAGTAGTAGTAGTAGTAGTAGTAGTAGTAGTAGTAGTAGTAGTATTTGCCAAGACATTATTTGTTTAATTATTTTATTATTTAATATGTAACACTAAATATTGAATATGTTTTCTTCAGTATTTTATTTTATTCAAGCTTAATTTTTAACGTCTTACCACAAATTATTTAAATACATCCGATTTTTTTTTAAAATATGGTAAAATTTTGTGTTTTTTCTATTGAATCCTAATCTATTTTAAACAAAAAAAAATGTAATGAGTAAATAATAATGCGCAAAACATCATTTATCATAACAAAGACCCACTGCAGCACCACCTAAGAAAAAAATTAAATATGTAGGCTGTATGTTCTAATGTTGAAACATTTAAACCCCAACCCTAATGAAAATAAACTTGATTTAGTGTGTTATAATAAATAAAACGTTAATCTTGGTTGCAGTATAAGGACATTTTTTTGTCTGGTTTATTTCGCCATCTGCTGTTTTCAAAAGGATACAACACTTTTCAGTTATAGACCATTTTGAGGGATGTAAACAAAAACAATTGTCCCAGCATATTTCCTGTTTTACATTTTTAATTTCTATAGCTTCCGAGAATCCAAAAAGAGCCACATATTGATAAAAAAAAAAATTATGATAGCTTTAGTTTTAACATTAAGTTAGCATTGAATTACCTGGTTTCATTTATTAAATCGGTTGATAACAAGCAGGAAATTTCCAGAGGTCAAAGACACCACCACATTGAAATAGTCAAACGAAGATATTTCAGAAACAGTTTAAAAATGTCTCCTATTGATAAACGTTAGTGTCTTGAATTAAGTAACAATAATGTCCAATACATTTATGTGGTAGACTATTTTACAAAAGTTGTTAACATTAGTTAATAAAACAACTTTTCATTATGGTAATTTTTTTTTTTTGTTTGTTTGTCTAATTTGGCCAGTAAATGCTACAATTAACATAAACTAATTAATAACTTTCCTTATTATTTTTTGTTAACATTTTTAGCAATTGGTTTTAATAATGTTAAAAAACTAAACATTGTTATCAGGTATTTTATTATTGAATCAGATTTTGTGATCTCTAAACAAGTCAATATTATCTGGATGCAGCCTTTATGATGCAAGCTGAGATTGCATCACTCAGTGAGGCAGTGTCAGAAACAATGCACTCAAATTGAGCGAGTGACGTCACGGTGAGGGGTAGGGTTAGGGGTGGGGTTAGGTAAGCCCATTAAAAAGCATTTGATGCAGCTCAGATTGCACTGCACCATGTCTGCATCCAGACCCCTCTCAAACAAGTTTTTAGGCTTAAGTGTGAATATTTATGTTTAAAGATGATACATACTGTATTTAATCAGCTACTGTTACAATTACAAACTCAAGAGCTCAACACTCTCATTCCTCCAACATGACGCAATAATTGAAACTGGAATTGATATTTGATTAGCATTTATTAAGGAATTAACTTATGTGTCAACAATAATCATGATAATGTATAGTCAGACGGTTATCACTGCGAAGTAAACTGGCTGATACAGGACCATGATTACTTATTTTAGTATTGTGACAGATCCCATCACTCCACTTCCTCCACAAGACATAGCTCACAGTCTCACTGTATTGCAGGTTTATTCAACAGGACCTCAACTCTCCGCTCTTTTTTTTCTTGTCTTTTGAAGGTCTGTCTTTATCACTCCTCCACCGCAGTGTGACCTGCAATAAACAAACACAGTACTTCAGTTCAATTTACTGTTTTTGAAAAACTTCAGTTCTAAGCATAATTTATATAGAGTTCCAAGCATGAATGAGTACACCCCTCACAGATTTCTTTTAAACTAATATTTTCTATAGACCATTTTGAGGGATGTAAACAAAAACAATGTTCCCAAAATATTTCCTGTTTTACATTTTTAATTTCTATATCTTTCGAGAATTCAAAATGAGCCACATGTTGATAAATAATGTTATGATAGCTGTTTTAACATTAAGTTATGATTTAATTCCCTCATTACAGTTATGAAATAGTTTAATAACAAGCAGGAAATGTTATGGGCCAATGACATCACCACATTGAAATGATCTATAGGATGATATTTGTGCATACATTAGATTAGCCAGTGCCAACGCCGAAAACTATAAATAAAATTAAATTAAATTAAAAATATAATAAAATCAGAGTCTAAAAATAAGTACTCCCAAACTAATTTGTCTTTTTTTTTATGCAATTAACTCATTTGAGTTATTCCTAAAGGTGTTAAGTGATAAAACTCTTATTTTTCATGAGTATAACTGTTTAATGCAACTGTTTTGTGTAAATGCACCAAAATATATTGTCTATTTTCACTGGGAAATGAATAAAAAATATATATACATTTTCAAAATTGGGCTTCTACATTTATGCAGAGCATTGTTTATTTACATATAGGACAACAAAATTACTACCAATGTTATATAGTGACATATAACTGTGTTTTAATATTGTTTTATATTAATACATAACTATTAAATGATAAATAAAATATATGAATTTGACAGCACCTGAGTCCCTCTCAGTGGTCCAAACAGAAAGCGCAGTAATTGCCTTGGGTTTCCATTTTAGAATGGTTGTCATTGCGGGTTCTTCTTCTTCTGCATCTCCTTTAACCTACCGTCAACAAATGTCATTTGAATTTGGCTCCACACAAAATCATTGCACAGCAATATTTTTCAAAATGTATCTCAAAACATTTTGCTAGAGAAAAACTCATTTAGAGATAAAAAGATTTGATCCCAAAATGTGTTTATATTAACTGAATACTTTCACTTAATACAATGTGAATTCGGTGCAAAATCTGTGCATTGGTGAAGTGTTTGGGCTTACAGCAGTGACACTTACAGTACATTACATTGAACTGAACTAAATTGATCTTCAACTGTATCTATTGAACTGAAGATTTGTACTAGAACTTGTTAAGCTGCTTTTGCACAATCTACATTCTAAAAAGTGTAATAGAAATAAAAGTCGCTGGTCCGACTTCCAGCTGGGCCAGTTGGCATTTGTGTGTGGAGTTTGCATGTTCTCCCTGTGTTCACGCGAGTTTCCTCCAGATGCTCCAGTTTCCCCTAAAAACATGCAGTATAAGTTAATTGATTAAACAAAATTGGCCGTAGTGTGAATGAGAGAGACTTTAATATTTAACTTAACTAAACTTAAACCAGGGCAGCATGGAGAGGGCAGAACAGAGAGTTCGACTGGAAAATTATGGTTCCCCTGAAATCTTTTCAGAGGCTCCTGGGGCATACAACATCCGCAGCCGCTGTCACGCTGCTCGGACTGCTACATATAAACTATTTCAGCACTGACTTCATAATCAAGTCCCCAGACGCACATGGCATGCAGGCACACACCAAGTAACTGTCACTGCACTGTCACCACACCCTTAGCCCTTGGAGGGACCCTGCGTTTCTACAGGTCGGAGTGGTTCTACGACAGGCGTCCAGGCATCTTGTCATCTCAACAGATGCTTCCAGCATGGGGAGCCATGTGTTACGGGCATGCAGCCATGGGCCTGCGGAAAAGGACCCAGTTGCATTGGCATATCATATGCCTGGAGCTGTTGGCAGTATTTCTCGCTCTGTGCCGTCTTTTACCAGTGCTGGAGGGGGAACACGTGCTGGTCAGGCTGGACAGCACAGTGACGGTGGCGTATCCGCTCGCTCGCCAAGCTC